GACATGTTGTGTTACTGTTTAGAAGGCACTCTGCTGATTTGCTTGTTTTTTTCCCCTCAAGTTGAACACGTCTCCATCATGTGGTTTTAATTTAAACGTGGATAAATATTTGGACTTTTTTGTCAGCTCATAACGGAAATGTTTTTCAAAGCAGGAGAAAAGCAGCTGGACAACAACACGCCTGACACAATGTGCGCAAGATATTCAAAACACTATGAAGATTATAATATGCAGAAGTTTGTTTCCTGCAGCGAGAGAGAGAGGTGGCCAGGAAGGTCAAAACACAACATTTCTCAAAAACATTGGCTTTGTCCATCGACAGTTAATATTAATGCAGGAAGCCTGAGTGGCTTCCCATCGATGGAGGCGCTGGAGTCCCATCGATGGCGGTCTCCATGCTGGAAATGCTGTCTCAGTCTAACTTTCAGTCAACCTAACGACAGGCTGAGAGCTGGAGCTGAGGCGGGTTTTAAACCTCCTGACAAACCGTTACACCGCGCCCACCTGTCAATCAGGTCAGCTACACGCCTTATTGTGAATAACTCTTATCCTTCATCAAATCAAAACTGATGAGTCATCAAAACATTCACCCCCCGTACAGTGTGTGTCCATCCAGACATGAGCTAATCACACCTATTTGGTTTTTTGAACCAGGCTGTAAACATGTTCATCTCTGCTGTAAAAACAGGCTTTTTAGAATGGGTGTGTATGTGACTTCCTGTGCTTCTGCAGCCAGCCTCTAGTGGACACTCCAGGAACTGCAGGATTTTAAACTTCTGCATCAGATTCATTTTTCAACACGGGAGGTTGCTGCTTTCTTTCATCGGATCTAAAACGTTTTTTTTTGTCTAATTTTCTCCTGGAAAAAAGTGGGTTTATAACGATGTTTATATTTAGTCTTCATGTTGAAATCAAACACAAAGTTTTTTGTAGTAATGGAGTAGTACTGACCTCTTTACATTCACTCTTGTGTTGACGTACTTAATCTTACAAAAAGAAGATATCCTTTATTAATCCCATGAGGGGGAAATTACTTTTATTGAGACTTGCTACACACACTACTGAAACACACACACACATGCACAAACAGGATCCTCTGCACTCTGCTGATGGAGAGGTGTCAGAGTCAGGGGCGTCGTAGTGGGGGTAAAAGTGGGACTGACTACCCAGGGTGGGGGGGGGGGGGAGGCCATAATGAGCTTTTAGACAGTAAAAGCCTTTTGAACATTAATTGTTGTGAGTGAAAAAGTAAAACAACACTGCTGGAAATGGTAATAAAAGATGCTTTACAAAATTTAAATTACTTTTAAAATATGAGGAAATATTACAGTGATTACTTATCTCCCATTTTCAGGGTGGAAAACAAAGCCTAGTTGTTCGAATGGGTCGTTTGTGTGATGGAGGTGTGGTTACAGAAATTCTCCAGGGTTAGTTTGGGCCCAATGTGATATCTTTTCATGGGGCCCGGAGGACCTGGCGGCGCAGCTGGTCAGAGTGAGCAGTTGCCGATCCAATTTCCAGAACTGGTCTGCAGCAATACTTCAACCAGCAACCCTCCGGATCCCAAATCCCAGTCCCTACAGACTCCTGCTAACTGGACTGCAGGATTGTAGATCTGTTAACGGAAAACCACTTTTTTTTGCATCCAAAAGACTAAAACTGGACGGTTAAATCAAAACAGTGGAGTATGATTTACTGCATGTCTCTTCAGATGAAATGGAATTTAAAATACTGTAAAATACTGCAAAGGTCAGTTGAAGTATCTCAACATTTAACTGAAAGTACAAACAGGGGGAGTGAAAGCAGTTTGTAACTCTGTACATCTGATTAGCATCGATAGTTTTCTCTAACTCAAAGCCTGGGGAAAATGTGAATGGATGCCCAACACCAATCACACATTTACTCCACACACACCCAACCCCCCATCCCACACACACACACACACACACACACACACACAGAAAGTAAAGTGACAGTCCAACCACATCCGGAAGCCAATACTCAGCTTGTCGATACCCTGATGTCGAGTCCCTGAGAGCGGCTCGTTGGTCTGCAGGATTCTGAACCACAGATTACAAAGGCAACAGTTTTAAATCTGTTATTTTGAGTTTTTGTTGTATTCTGTAAATCAACTGTAATCAGAAAATAACTTCCTCGACTTTGGTTTTCGTCTCTTCGTCCTCAACATCAGGTAAGACAGACATTCATCTCTTTTTATAACGATGTCAGTTTGACTCTGCCTGGTCTATTTCTATGTTCTTTTGATAATGATTTGAGTCTCTCTGATTCCAACGTGTTTGATCGTTTATCTCCTTTTCACATGAAGTATTTTGTTGACAGAAGCTACTGAGGTATTTTTATGGAATTGTGCCCAATAGAGAGGCATCAGGATGGACTTTAGCAGAACTCATTTTAAACACATCTGAACGCCTCCCTACCCAGAGCGCTCAGGTCCTCAGACCAGCGACTCCTGGTTGGTCATCGGTCGAGTTTAAAGTTTCTGCAGCGAAAGTGTTCCCCTTCTTTAGATTCACCGTTCCACCGTTTAGCTTCCCGTGGTCCTAAAGGTTGAATTTTTTTGTTTCTTTATTTTTCTTTGATTTAGTCTATGAATGTTATCTTACTGTCTGTGGTGCACTTTGGTCAGCTCTGGTTGTTTTGTAAATGTGCTCGATTTGTTAATGTTTCCACGTTGTAATTGAACTAAAACGAGATTATGACAATGAATAAAGAAAGGAAGTGGACGACTTTGAAAAAAAATTTCCATGCAGGTTTTACAGAACAGTTTATTTAGTCGTAGTTTGAAAATCAGAATCCGTCAGGAGTCTGAGATAATTTCACTCCAGTGTCTATAAAATGGATAAATACATCGTGTTGCTTAAATCAACTGAAGTTAATGAAACTGCTGTTTCATTAAAAAAGATTTATTTTACATATCTAAAATATGAGCGTCAATCATCGTTGTTAGACGAGCAGTTCAACGCTGCTCGCTGCCTTCAATGCGACATATTGCACAGCCTGACTTCATATTTTCTCTCGTCCTATTTCAGACTTAAATAGTGCAAAAGGGAGTTTTTTTAAACGCTTGTGAACTTGACGTGTGAAGGTTTTGACGACAGGACATCGAGTCTGCGTTCATAGAAGACCTGCTTTGATATCCAATAGGACCTTTTACTAAACAGGCAAGACCCCCCCCCCCCCCGATGATGACAAAGTTTAAACCACAGAAGGGGCTAAAATGTGCAAAGTTGGCAATGAACGTTGGTTGGAGGGGTCCCTCGGGTCCCTCGGGTCCCAACAGAATCCAGAATCACCACTGTTGATATCTGATGTTACACAAGATCTCTGTATTGGGGAAATGAATTAGTAACTTTTTTTGGGTTTCTGCTGCTCTTTTCCTAAGTCTTGGTTAAAGCAGGCACCGCATGAACAGGGGCTACAGTCCTCGTTGCACTGGTCGCAGGTTCAATTCCCGACCTGTACACTATTTGGTGCATTTTATTTCCACTCTCTCCTCCTATGTTTTTTTTTTTTTTTTTAATCTCAAGCTGTCCTGTCAAAATAAAGGCAACAACCCCTCCAGAAAAATGTTGAAATTGTGCTGGCCACTTTTTTTTCTGGCAAGTGCAGATCCCTCAACATTTTATCGACAAGAGGATGTTGGCTTCTCCCCAATGCAAATTTACGAGCCAGAGACCAAGGCTGAGATCGATTGCTTGTTCCCTTTCAGAGGTGAACAGGCCGCTGCCTGGGCGGGTAACTGTGGGGCATGGACGGGCCCAGATTCTAATTCAGTGGAATAATTTAGAAGAACGCTGTGTGTGTGTGTGTGTGTGTGTGTGTGTGTGTGTGTGTGTGTGTGTGTCTCCCTAGATTCAGCATTAGGGCGACTCGTGTGTTTAACAGAACCAGAGAACACTTTGAAACACGATCATGACCTGGACCAACATACCAGATGTGATGTCACAGTTCACGTTCGTTGCCAACAGAGCGTTATCATCCTCGTATTATTGAAAAAAATAGCAAAAGCTCTTCAAACATTAAGGAGCAGAGATGTCGATTCATCAACACACAGTAATTAGTAACGAGGTGATTGGCGAGGTTACTGAATGTCTTACCCGGTCTTCTTTGCAATTATATTATTTTTTCTCAAACGATATTTGACAAGAGCTTCAACATAATTTTGAGGGGACAGGACGGAGCCGACCAACACGTCCTAAAAACTTTTACTCTGAAATGATCAACTGGCTTGGTAGTTCTCATTACTGTGTATGTGTTGTCGTGCCTGTGTGTGTGTGTGTGTGTGTGTGTGTGTGTGTGTGTGTGTGTGTGTGTGTGTGTGCCTGTGTGTGTGCATGACTGCACTCATGTGACCGACCTTCACAGTCACTGATCAGGCTTCAGGGACTACTTAGCAATCAGAAATGACATTTATTGATCAGCCTAGAAAACTCCCCCAAATCAGTTGTAGGAAGAGAAACGTGCATAATGAGTGCAAAGCAAAACAAAAAAAAAGCATGTGAGCCCGATGAAGAATATGTCCGGGTGTTGACTGAGCAGAGAAACGGTGATAAATATCATTATTTTCTGGTGGTATAAAATCGGCTTAGATTACTCATAATCATTCATACTTTCCTCAGCTGTAACAGAAATGTGGAAGCTGAGGATGTCGAGTGAAAACTTTATAAATGTGTTCATGGAAAGTTTAGTTTGAATGCTACCTATTTCCTTTGGTTTCTGTGGTTGGAGCTGCAGCGGTCCGGCCCTGAAGGGCTACTTGGGTTTTCCATTGAGTTTTCCTCTTATCACCCATTGATCTGCTGAAGTTGCTGCTGCACATGTGTTGCCATGTGGTACAGATACTTGCATGGAGTCACTGTAAGGCCAGGAGGATTCCCTGACCAACCCGAGAAAATGTCCACCAACAGAGAAAACCAGGCCGATTAAAGAACTTCTCTTTTTCCACCGTTAACTTCTCTCGTCTGCAAGTCTGTTTCAGGATGGATCATCATGACTGGCAGCGAGGGAGAAGTAGAGGTCACAGGCGCTACGATGATGAAGAAGGTGAGAAAACAGAGCAAAGATGGCAGCTGCCTGGGAGTCCTTCAAAAGCCCTTTGTTTCTAGTGTTGAAATTGATTTTTATTACAAAGTGATACTACTCGCTGTTACACGCTGTTAACTGGAATCCCGAATCTTAAACCTGAAAGGAAATCCTAACATTTGAGTTCAACATTTTGGGGAATTCCCTTAGTGTAAAATCTGAATGCTGAGCTTACTAAAGCTAGTTGATTTGTTGATTGTCTTGCATAGTTCTTGACATGAAGATGGATATACTTTTCTATCTGTTCCTAACATATGCTGAGAAATGTTCACCAGATAAATATCTCGGGTTTGTTGAAGGGGATTTTATGGTTAGCAGTTTGAAACTGCTGCAATATTATCTTTGAGATATTGTGAATGTTATCAAACACCAAGGGGAAGTTTAACTTTTGACTGTTATTGTGAGAAAGGCTACAGAAATATTGTCTCAATATACACATAAATAATGCACACAAGCAGAACCTATAGACATGCATTTTCAAAGAGATGTTAGAGTGAGGGGGTTGTACAGGGATTGGTAAAATGGTACAAACAGTTGGGGATTCATTCATCTGCTCATTGGCACCTTGGCAGTAAAATGGCAATTAAATCCTTGGTCGTTATCGGGACTTCAGCGAGGGATCCCCTGGATCTAAACCCAAATCCCTCAAGACTGAGCTACTGCCGTCTCAAGTCATGTTTAAATCACAAAATCTCACATCGTGTTTGAGGAGAGATGAGCCACAGGTTCTCTCTTCAAACAGGGACAAAACATACAACTGTGCTGGAAATGCACCTGCTCCCAACTGCTTAAAAAAATGGTGTTTAACAGGTCGGTTTGATTATTTTTTGTGAGTGTGACTTCTGTTTTGTTTTTTTGTTTGTTTCATTTGTTTTGTTTTGAAAGAAATTCTTGGAACAAATTTTTGTTCTGATATGTTTTTTTTTTTTTTAACCAAACTAGTCGTGTCTTAAATAATAAGATTTGTAATAAGGGTAGGTGTAATAAGCTAAAGCTTCAGCCTACACCTTTTCGATCAAAATGTTTTTGTTTTTTTCTTGTGACTGAAATAAATTATTACTACTGAGCTGTGGTTTGATATATTGGTTATTTAAGTTGCTCAGAAGCCATACTGATCAGACTTTACGCTGATTATCAAAACATCAAAAAATGTTTTCATCAAAGCAAATTGCTTTCTATTTATTAAATACAGTCAACGTAATTCACATGTTCTCTTAGCTTGAAGCTACATCAACACTGTTTTGAAATAATATCACCACATTGATCATCTGTGCCTTCAGAATCTGTCCCTATATTGATCTGGCACTTATATGTTCTCTACCCGTCTCTCTCTCACAGAGGGCCAGCCTGTCTACATCGGTGTTCCAGTCACCCACAGACGGAAAAGGCGCAGACATCATTCCCATGTCAGTGATGCCGAGCGGGACACACGGCACACACACTATGACCGCCACACACACCGTGAACACTCACACAGGGGATACTACCAGGACAGAGAAGAGCACTCTGACGACGACGAGGGCAGCACAGAGCCTCAGGAGCACTCCGACCTCTCAGGTTAGACGAGCAGACAAAGTGACTTACTAGATTATTCAGAAGTTATAAATGTCAGCCAGCTAATAGCTTTGACAGACAGGCGTGGTTCTCAGACAATAAATCCTGATGACTTTGATGGTCAAGCACAAGGCTGATGTTTCTTGATTTAATTCAAATATCTCAACAACTATTCATGGTTTAGGTTTTTTTAAAACTGGGTAAAACTGTCATCATCTGTGAAGTCAAAGTTTAAAGATTGATGGATGGCCTTGTACTTGACAGAGATCTCTTAGGTAGTTGGAGGGAAAGTCCCAGTGTTTGGTGAAATCCCCCTGAGATGCAACAGACAATGTTGGGCTGTTTTGGCTGACATGCTTCTTCACTGATCTATAGACATCAAGGATAGGGCGCAGATGGCCTAGTGGTTAGGTTGTTCCCTATGTAAGGAGGCTATAGTCCTCCGAGGGGGCGGCACAGGATTGAGACCGGCCTGAGGCTCCTTTCCCACATGTCCCTACTCTCTCTCTCTCTCCCTGGTATTACATCTCTATCCACTGTCCTATCCAATAAAGGCAAATAAGCCCAAAAATAAATCTTAAAAAAAGTCGTCAAGGACAGTGATTGGGGTTTGGGGGACCAGGGTGACCCTAATACTTAAAAAAGGGACTAGAGGGTATGCTGCAATTATCAGAGAATCACTCTTCTACCCTTCAGAGGTTGATGCGTGGTCGAGGTCTTGGGAGATTGCCTTTGTAGACTTTGATGAAACCCTGAAAAGAATCACAAGGGAGTCATTTTGGGGTTAATGCAGTAGTATTGTGTGCAGGGGCCATTGCATTAACTGAGAGCTGGGTCTGTATCCTCGGGACAATGTCAAACATGTTACCAATTTGTATTGCCTCCACAAGGGTTGTCCATTGACATCGATTATGGTGGTCAAGGTCAGCATCTCTTGGTGCAGCTAGGGATTGATGGATGGATGGGGAAAGTCCACTTAAAGATGTCAGAATTGCGTCTCTGCTCCATGCAGGTGTTGTGGTTTAGTTGGGTGTTATCAAACTGTGGCTCCATGCAGGCACTGGAGGGGATTGCAGTTTAGGGTGTACCTCCAAGTCTGAGGTCATGTTTTCCTGCTAGGGTTGAAAGTCAGCTATAGCCTGAAGTGGAGAACTCTGAGTATCTAAGGATCTCAAGCGACAGTAAAATATAGCATGAGATTAGGGCTTGATACTCAACAGAATTAATGTCGTCATTGCCTCAGACTTTCGTGGTAAAGGGAGGTGAGCTGCAAGTCAAAGCTTTAAATTTACCAGTTAATCTACACTCCATCCCCTGCACATAGGAATGAACCTTGGAAGTCAGAAAGTTAAAACACTAAAAGCTCCTGAAATATGTTGTTTCGCAATGTGTCTGCAATTAGCTTCAGAGAATCAGTGACAAGCTAAGAAGCTTAGACATGTGGAAGTTTAATGTAGAGCTGATATTCCACAACTGAAATAAATTATGGTTGAGGAGATGTGTTTGTATGATTAGGATGCATTAGGATTTCTATAGGTTTCTTGACCCAGAACACACTTGTGTGAAAATGTATTTGATGGAACTTTAGTGCCTTGGTAAACGCCTGGAGCACATGTGCAAAATGCTGCTTATGAGAGCGACTGCTTTGCTTATCCTGCTGTCACCTTGCTCTGGAATAACAGACGTTTGCAGTTTCTTTGGCGCAAACTTCCTCACAATGTCAAAATTCTAGTTTTTCCAACTTCTGAGCTTATTTTTGGTTTGAACTTGATTAGAAAATGATAACATGCTTAACCAACATGGTGAAATTCCATTAAACATTTTAAAAATGTGTACATAAAGGAAGCTTATGTTAGCTTTCCTGTGTTCCACTGTCGCCATAATCAATGATTCAATCTTAATTGGTGTTGCATCATTTCATAACAAATGTTATCCAGAAAGAGTAGGTCCAGACTGTACTCTTTATTGACAAAGACCCATCATTAATCTACCACAAGCACAGCATTTGGCAACATTTAGCAAAGTCACATTGGCAAGGAAAATCACAGAACCAGACACGATTTGAATAGCCATCTGATGAAACTGTGTTGGGGTTTGAGAGTTGGAGATGCAGAAATAAACTGCTAAGTTCAACTTCAAGATTACAGAATAAAACATATTTAACCTATTTAGAGCCAAATTAACTGAACACACGGTTGTGATGGGGATTTGATAGGCATCCTTTATCTACACTTATGTTTATAGGCAGATAAAACGTGAGTCCATTTCCATTAAGAGTTTGATAAAGGTTGAAGTTGCAAGTGCATGTATGTGATGAATATTTTGCAGCATGGTCAGCGTTCCCAGGGGGCCATGAAGTCTGAAGCCTGTAAGCTGATTAGAGCTGAGGAACTCCAAGCTGTGTGTGCATGTGTGTGTGTGTTATTTGGGGTGGCTGTTGGTGTTTGGTATGCTTTTGAACTATTGCATATTCCAGCTAGGTTTCATACCAAACACAAAGTCTGAGGTGAATAGTTAGGGGGCGGGACTGTTGGGGTCATCAGAGCAAGAAAGCACGAGCTATGTTGGAGAGGATGCCCTCGCTTTCCTTGCATGCTGTGTGTTTTTGTCGTATAGTCTGAGTGTGTGTACATGTGCATAGACTTCTGGGAGGAGAGTACTAGAGGGCCCTGTGGTGTGTGTCAACCCTCTTAAAGTCTCTGGCTCGTTGCTGCTTTGGAGATTTCAGTGGATTTTTGCCACAGCTTTTCCGAAGACTGATTGAATGGCGCAGGTCTGACCCCTTAGATGACTACTCCCACACAAATCATACATGGCTAATTGAAATAACAAAACTCACTGTGGAATTAAACTCAAAGAAGTCAGCTTTAAATCAGCGAAGCGGAGAAACAAGTCGGGCAGACGAATGTGAAAGGGGTGAAGGTGTATTTTTTCACTCATGGTGGAGAGCTAAGGACACTCAGCCTCAACAAGAGGACAGGAAGCTACAAACATTGTTTTTTTGTCGACCTGAATACATCACAAGATCTTCTTCTAGTGGCTGTTACTTTTTTTGACGTCAGAGGATCCAGTGACCATGCAGGACCCTGGGGAGTCCCGTTGGACCCTACCTGGTTCCCAAATAGGTAAAAAAAACTACGAGTTGGGAAAAGCCTGGGAGAAAAGTGGCAGATACGTGCTCCATTTGAGTGAAAAGGTTGGAAAAGCTGAGGTCACTATGGAAATAGATTTAATTATGGTGTCACTGCATTGACTTTATTTTGTTGACTTTGTTAGCAAAAGAGAAAATTAACATTGTTTACCTATTGCCAATGTCCATAATCTTTACTTATTATATTAGTATTCTAATAAATCAAACATTACATTTTTAGGATCAGCTTTTTCTCGTAAATGACCAATTCTTATTTTGCATCGACTTTTATACCATGAACTATTCCATTTTGAGAGTTCATTTGTTATTTTTGGGATTCCCCGTGTTGTTTAAACATCTTGCTAAACCGATCATGAAGCCGATGTGGGAAATAATAGTGATAAATTGAAAGTAGCATTGAATTTTAAGACACTTGGGAGACAGCGAAACAAAATGTGAAACATTATTTACATTTTTAAACTACATTAAGTTATGGTCTAGGTTAAAAATCAAGCAATCATGGAAAGACATTCACTGATATCTAAAATTATGTACTTTCCATCTAAACGTATGAGCACTAAATCAGGTATTTCTTAAATCCTTTTTTAAACATATTTTTGGTCTTAATTACTATTATGTAATAAAAAAAACAAGATAAGATTCTCACTGGATTGATTTAACTGGCAACTAAGAAACGGGCTTGCAATGCCTGCAATTTAATCCTCGAGGACAAAGTGTGAGTACATCCATTAAGAGTGTTGTTTTTGCAACTGAGTGAGATGTTTTTGACAACATTACAGAGGGTATGCACCAAGTGGAAACCTCAGGTCTTGAAAGCTGAAGTGCAAAATCCGATAGTTTGTCGAGTGTCCGCTTGAGTCTAGCTCCGGGAACCCTCGAAGTCACGCACACACAACAGCCAAAAAAAGCAGTTTTTACAGCATAAATTAAGTTATGTTTATAATTATGTTTACAGCCTGGTAAAAAAAAAAAAGGTCTGATTACGTAACGGTTCATCAAGAGGCTTAAAATCCGCCTCAGCTCCAGGTCAACTGAAAGTTAGGCTGAGAAAAAGGATTTCCATCTCGGCAGTTTGCTGCTGATGAGCCTCCGGAGCCCCCTGCCGTAAAAGATGGCTGACGTCACTCAGGCTTCGTCCGTTGATATTTACAGTCTATGGTATGCATGTGATGTCACGGGGGGCGGAGCCACTGCACTTCCAGCCAGCGAGTGGCAGAAAGCTCGTACTGGTGTCAGGGAACAATAAGATGTAAACGGCTTTAAATAATTTCATTTATTTATTTAATTAGGACAGTGCACATTAATCAACATATCAACAAAATAGTATCCGTGTAAATATGCCAGAATTAGCACAAAAGCAAAATTTAATCTGTAGTCCTAAAGCAGGTACTAACAAAAAATAAAAATAATAATAAAACAAATGTACAATTACAGGACAGTTTGAACAGAACGACACACACAAAAAGCTCACAGACAATTTCACAAACAAATTGGACACTGTCGTTGCATAAGGAATAGCAGACCCACATGTAATTAGCTAATTAAAAATCAGCTGAAAAGAGACATTTTCTTTGGGTTAGTATACATCCTCAGCTGATCTAGGGATCCTTTCTGTAATGTTTCCAGAAATAGTATTTTAGTCATTTCAGTTGGTTTCACACATGCAGCTACAGGAACTATTCAAGAACTCCCTGTTCCTATCAATGATTTAGACTCCAAAAAGTGGAAGTTTAAAAACAACAGAACTTGTCTCAAGGGCCTGTATGTGGGCGTTTGTTTTTTTAACTAATATAGTCTGAAATGATGCAAAATAAGACATCAAGACCTCCCACTGTGAGGCTCTAGTGGCTGGTCAGAAAGACTTCAAGTTCTGAGACTATGAACCTCAGCGGACCTCCGAGTGTGATGTGACCTGATGTGACTGAGCAGAGAGAGTGATGGAAACAGCTACAGTGTGGTTAGCTCCATGGAACATTGTATTGTATTATAGTGCTGTTAACATAGATTACATAATTGTCCTGTTAGTGGAAGCGCATCACAGTCACATGATTTTTTTTTGACATTTGTTGAAACTGCGTCCACTGAGATCGTTCAGGCGCTCGTGTTATTTTTTCTTTTTTAATATTTAGGGTAAAAAAGAAGGGAAAGATTTGAAAACTGGAAAGTACAAAACTAATAACTACTTGCTTGTGCTAATTCACACGTGCAAACAAACAGTGGTAGGATCTGAGTCAACAGAGCCTCCAGGTTTGGATGTTAATGTTCATCGATCCGCTCGGAGGGAAATTAGAAAAAGATGCCGCCTGATTAGATATCTGATCCTCATCAGATGATCTGACCTGCTAATTTGCTTGTTCACAAACAGTGATGTGATTCTTTTGGATTAGTAAAGGCCTGTTTATAATGTCTGATTTACTAAAACAGCTCTCCATGGATATTGAGTCAACACATTCCTATTCCGATTTTAAGCGTTTCATTTAAAAATGACCTTTCATCCATAATGCTTCTTTTTGGTGCCCAACTGTCATAAAGGGAAAAAGAGCTTTCAATGCTCTCTCATTCAAGCGTATTGAGGTTCCTTTAACGTCCATAGATTATCCTAGTCTGTCTAAAAGGATGTAATGGTCACTTGTCAGAAGGAGAGGCAATGTTTCAGCCTCTCCATCTGGTAGATATCAGGCTGTTTTAATGAACATGTGAACACTGATCTGCTCTCTGGGGAACACAAATAAGATAATCCAAGCTTCAGTCGTTGAGATATTTCAGTCTGAACCAAAGTGGTGGAGCAACCACCATTCCAATCAATGAGGCCATCACAGGCAACAGATTGGTGCTTTTGTGTTATTCTAAACCAGAGCTGTTGGTTATCTTGCCAACTGGACCAGCTTATTGGAAAAAAATTTGCCTCCGATTTTTGCTCACATGTGGATTTAATGGCTAAACGTTCCTCACTTTGCCCTCTCTTTGCAGTATCTCCTGCAGCAGAGCGACTGCGCCACATTCTGGGGGATGATGACAGCACCCCAACACCTACAATATTCACTGAGATGGACACACTACAACACGAGGGGGATGAGTTGGAATGGAAAGAGTCTGCGAGGTATGTACACAGACATACGCACACAAATGTACTGGCCTCAAAGCTTTCATTAATTTAGGATTTTGGGGTCACCTTTGAAAGGATTAAGGGGTCGGGGGTTGAGAGATTATGGCTGCTGAGTGACAGAATTTTAACACTACATGTGATTAAAGATATACTTTAAATTGCTGCTTGACGCCCCGGACATGGGACAAATCAATCATTCATTCTGTTTTTAATCATCTCTGCAGGTGGGTGAAGTTTGAGGAGAAAGTGGAGGAGGGAGGAGAGAGATGGAGCAAGCCTCACGTCTCCACGCTGACCCTGCACAGCCTGTTTGAGCTCAGGACGTGTCTGCAGACGGGAAGCATTCTGCTCGACCTGGAAGGCTACTCACTGCCACAGATAGTGGGTGAGTCAGACGACTCTACAAATCAATAGTGCTTGAAACATTTCAAAAGGCCTTTCATTGACCTAATTTTCTGTCGTCCAGACAGCAGATGGTTTATCAATCAATCAATCAATCAATCAATCAACCAAACTTTATTTATACATCACCTTTCAGACAAATTAAATTGCAGTTCAAAGTGCTTTACAAGAGTGCAGAAAAGTTATTGATGAAAAAGTAGTTTATAAAAGACCTTACTTATTGCTATATTACAAAGACCCGGCCTATCCATCATGAGCACTTTAGCAAAGCAGCAAAAGTTAAAGGGATCGAACCCTCAACCTTCTTTGAGACAAACGACTCTACCCACTGAGCCACAGCCGGAGTATGCAAAAAACAATCTGCACAAGGAGATCTGATATCATATAATTTTAGGATTTTAAGACTTGATGTCTTTGTGAGCACTGTTGGGCTGAGCTTTGTTATCCTAAAATTAAATGTTGAGGACGAGCGAGCAACAAAAGGCTTTGGCCCACTTTCACACCCTTTACCTATATTAACAACATGAACATGTGATAGAACCATGTTGTTGCATTTACTGAAATAAATCAATGAACTGTTTTACTAATAGGAATAATGTAATGCATGTAAGGGCGGACATCAATCACATTATGGTTTGACCACTGTCCAGTAAAAATTAAACATTGATTGAATTCTAAAAACAACACATCGACATTGTCAGTGAGGGGCGGCAGTAGCTCAGTCTGCAGGGACTTGAACCGGGGGGGGGTTGCCTGTTCAAGTCCCGGTGCGGGCCAAATCTGGAAATTGGTCTGGTAGCTGGAGAGGTGCCAGTTCACTTCCTGAGCACTGCCTAAGTTCCCTTGAGCAATGCACCGAACCCACCCACCCCCCCAGATCAGGAGCGCTAGCAGCGGTGTCTGTGCATGTCCACTTTTTGTAAAAAAAAGAAATAGTAAATAGAGAGCACAGTTCACCAAAGTCAAATTCCTTTTACATGTGAGCATATCTGGCCAGAATACATGCAGCTGATTCTGATTCTGAACTTTTCCCCCAGATGAAATTGTGGATCGGCAGATAGCTGACGGTCTCGTTGCACCGGATCTGAAGGAGAAGATCAGCTTTGTGTTGCTCAGAAAGCACCGTCACCAGACCAAGAAACCAATCCACCGCTCACTTGCAGACATTGGAAAGTCCTCAAACCCTGCTTCCAGTAAGTTTTTTTATTGTGACCTAAATGTCAACCACTAATCAACAATCACCAAATGAATCAAATCTTCTAACTACATTCTAACGCTTCTTTTGTTTCCTGCCATGTTGATCACCTTTCTTTGTATAATCATCGTTTTCACATCTTCTGCTGCTACTGCTGCTCTGTCAGACCGTAGTCCTCATGCTAATCTGAATCGTAGCACTAGTTCAGCCTCTGGGATTCACCGCTCCACAGAAGACCTACGCTCTCGACAGTCAGGCAGCCTCGGTCACCTGCGTGAGTTCACACACACCAACATTCCCACATGAGTTCTTTCCTATCTCACAATAACCTACAAACCAGGAGTGGAAAATTAACACCAAGAAGAATTCAGCTTTCGACATTTCAGGTTTCTCTTGTTACCATGATCATATTAACTCTCAGATTTGTCAGGTGACCCTTAGGGGGGAATTCCCCCCAATGTTTGGAACCAGTTGACTTTACTATCACACTTAAAGGCTTTATATGCAATTTTTTGATCCAGCAGATGTCGCCCTTGAGCACCAGCATGAAACCAAAACAACTCACGCTGCATTGTTGTGTTAGCATGCTAATGCTAGCGATCTTTATTATGCTGGTATCTTCACACTGCATGTAAATTGACCTGAAATGAGCGTGATCTAGAAACACAGTTAAGCAGTGAGTACAGTATGTTATTCTTCTTTTCTCTAGTCCCTCAATTAAACAACTTTTATACACGAGGGGAGGAGTCAGCCGGCCGTCCCGGCGATGTAAACAAAGTGAAGATAGGACTCTGAAAACTCTGAAAACATCACAGACAGTGGGACTCGGGTGTTACACCCATTGTAGACAGTCATGACTCAGAGTTATTATAGAGGATATACTTGATTTATATTGTGTGTGAAAAATCACATATAAAGACTTTAAGGATGAAGGCTCAAGCATGTCGTTATACCCAAATTGGGATAAGTTGTACAGCTAGCAGTAACTTCTCAAACAGGCAAACAAAAAACAGAATCAAGAAAAAAAATCAATAAGTATCACACAAAGTTTTTCAAAAGGCTGATAGCAACAGGGGCTAATTATATTTTTAGTCTATCGATTCAGTAACTATCGGATAATTTTATCGCAGGTATATGCCGATATTAGTAGATTTATTAACTAGTCAAAAATAATTTCATTAAAATATCCTTGAATTACACGAGCAGTTCTCCTTCTTGCTGTCACCAGCAGAGGGCGCTATATGGATTACAACAAGCATTATAAAGCGGTGACGCATGTAGATGCGCAGTTACTTTCCAGTAGAGTGACCATCTTGTCTTCTTTATACCTTATATCTCGTTTACAAGTGCTAAAGATAAAGATAAGGATAAACTATATTGATCCTCCATTGGGGGAAATTTCTTTGTTACAACAGCTCAAAAACAGTAGTATAATTAGTAAAAATAGCAAAAAGTTAAAAAAAACAACCATATTTACATCAATTAAATAAAGCAAGAAATTACAATAGAGATAAAATAATACATGGCATATACTATAAAAACTTTCACTTGTGGAAAGACAGAGGACAGTTCTCACACAGTGTGTAGAATTGTGATTGTGATTGTGAACATCAGGTGGTAGGACTGTTGAACAGTCTGACTGCATATACCTATATATCATTCTATCGCTACAGATCAAACATAGCTCTAATAAAGTTATCAACCAATATATATCGGTATCAGGTATTTTGTCTCCCCAATATTGATATCGGTATCAGCCCCAAAAATCCCATTCGGGCCCGAATAAATATAAACAATTACAATTTGAAGAATGAAAATAATCAGCTTCATAAGTGTTTAATGAGAACAGAAAAGCAGAGAGAACATTTTCTAAATCTTAAAGATTCACATGATGTGTTTAGTGAGAAACAATGAATCTTTACATCAAGTCTCCTCACGGTGCCTCTAACGGCTGGACGTCAGACTTCTAATGAAGTTTTTTAAACTTGTATTGGTACTTCACTAAAGCAACAGAGAGCCTGCTCTGAGCCCAGCTGTATCCCTGCTAATGAATGACTGAATGATTTGAAGACTTGATTTGTCTTTGTGTTTACACAGACTGACTATAAATACAACGTGCTCGACATAATGTGTGTTTACATCAGAGATTTGGGACCCTATTGTATGCACCCTACCTTAAGATATTTTTGGAATCTATCTGGACGGAGAGGATTAGGAGAGGGCTTTTTGGGCTCTGTGTGGTATGTTTTTGTTCTCTCTTTGTTCCCAAATCTGCTTTGACCAAAAATGGGAAATGAGTCATTAATTCATAATCCACCCCAGAGAAACAACTGGTCAAGTTCTCGCGCACATTTTGGACATACCTGAATACCCTCTGTGTTCCTTTTATATTTCAATCCTTAGTCAGCATTACTGGACACACTGAGCGAACTCAGACACTAAAGCCTCTGGTATTTTTTATTTTAACCAGCAATGTCATATTGTATGTTGAAAATGATTATGTTTGTATGGTTTATTTACAGATCCTGCCCAGAGCCGAAGCATGAACGACATTTCAGACACACCAAGCACAGACCAGGTAACATATATCTGATATTTCATGTGTGGGGAACAGCGGGCTGAGTAGTGTGCATGTGTTGGGAAGGCAGGATTCATAAGGTTTTACAGTATGACTTACTACAAAGACTGTGGTTTGCAGCAGTAACAACACTGGTCCTCTCTGAGAACCAATGGGGGCCTGAGGGCTTACTGTGTGTTACAGGCTGTTATAGTTGAAAGTAACACACTGTAGTTTAAGTATGCATTTTCCACTTCCTGTTCCTACAGTGAGGGAAAATAATTACTCTCTGATGTACATCTATTGTATTGTAGAATTGTAATTTCATTGATTTAATTCCCAAACAAGACAGCAGCAAGATCTGCTTAACATTTTAATATAGACTTTAAAACGGTTTTGAAATAACAGCCAAATAACAGAATTTCAAACTAGCAATTGTAAATGTGATGAATCACAATTAAAGATGTTTTTTTTGACAGCCCTAATACAAAGATGTTTTTTTCACTGAGCCAAACAAGAACTATTCATCTTAACCAAGAGATAGAAACAAAACAGACCTTTTAACCAGTGGCGGTTCTAGACCACTTTTACTGAGGGGGCCAAACGGGGGCCAGTTGTTTTGTCAGAGGGGAACATTAAACCCAGGTGAAAAATAGACAAAGATGATCACTTTAAAAAATATATATTATGCCAAATAATAGCACACATCATTAAATACCATGATTTATATTTGTTTCAGTAACAGAATTTAATACTAGATTGTGAGTCCGGTTTTTTAGTCACTGTGTATGTGTTATGAGGGGGGCTCTTCCTTTTGGAGGGGTGGCCACAGGGGGGACTAAGCTCACTGTTACAGGGGCACTGGCAACCGCCCATACTTCTAACAGACGCCAAAAGAGGGAGGCGTAAAATAGGGCCAACATTATTTTTATACTTTATATTTAAGTGAAACCATTGTTAATGGAAACGTGTAAATGTGGATTAGAGGTAATTGTAGAGCACTTCTGTTCAAAAAAAAGTCCAGTTCACTGCCGTGTATGACTTCACAGTAACATCAGTGGTGGTGTTTTCCTCGGGCACAAAGCTCCTTAAGAGGCACAGAGTTCATGCAGTTATCTTTTAAGGTCCAAAAGAAACCTTAATAAAAAATAAAACATTTATTTGGTGAAGTTGGTGCAGCACCTTTGTCCTACATGTTCCCATGTATTAACTATCACTCTGTGTTATTATTGATTTGTAATCAGCTAATCTCCTGTTGCCTGTGGGGAAAAAAACAATGATGGTTTATTTCAGTACTTTGGACAGTTGATGGACTATGAAGCAACATATCCCATTTTGTTTTTGTTCATTTGCATGCTGCTGTGTTTGCGTTCCTTGAACAGCTGAGCCTCACTTTATGAGAAGGTATACTGCGCTGTCAGAACGACTTAATCCCTCTAATCCACACAGCCTGGTTGCTGAAGTAGGAATTTGGTAAATTGTGTTTGTGCCAGAATGTGTACTTCTAATCGTGTTTGTGTGAAGATTTTTAAGCTTCTGAGTTTGCTAAATTGTTTTAACTCCCTAAACAGTAAGACAAAGAAGTTTCATTTTCTTCTGAACAACAGCAAAGTAAACAACGACTTGAGGTTGTGCTTTAGTGCATCATTGCAGATCAGATGCATACATTTAGTGTGTTTGGTAAATATCTTGATCACAGAGCAAAAAATTAACTCTTAAATGTGCTCCCTGAGTCTGATTTAATTATTTATTGACAGGCTGGCACAGCACCAGCAGCTTCTTTTGATCTCACCAACATGCACTCTGACAATTGAATACATGATGTAATGACATGCAACAACTACTGCAGGACTTTACCACTAAATCACTGGAACAACGTCGCTGAAGGTCAAACTCACTCGGATTGAATTCATTATTGTTTTTATTAGTTTGTAGTTTGTGAGATCAAAATATGTTGTTCACAGTTGCTGTGGAGCAGGATTGTAAAGAGAGAGTGGACGAGGACCAGTTGGTGAATTGACTCTGAAAAGCATTAACAGATTATGAGGAGATTTTAATTTAAGCACTCACCACTCCACTGCCATGTGCTTCCTTAGTTAAGAGGAAAAGGAAGGGTGTGCCAAAGGAGCTGCACAACCGTGTTGTGTGATTTAATGCTGTATTTGATTCCAGGAAAACAAGTACCCAGAACGCTCTGTGAGGATGTAATGCTCATTTAAAGACAACAAACTGGAAGATGCTTCAAAGTTAACATCCAGGTTTATTGGATTCTTACTCGTCATGGTTTTATTGATAATTGGCGGAAGGCTGTTGTTTTGTTCTTGGGAAGGTTTACCTTGTCCTAACCAGTAATGGACGATCGAATTTCCCTCTGGGATTAATAAAGTATTTCTGATTCTGATTCTGAGCACGCAATATAATAACAAAACAGAAAAATCTCCCTAGAGCAATATGATGATAGCCAACCCAAAATGGATCGACCACTATAGAACCTGGATCAGAAACTGTACTTGAGTCACACCCTGGGTCTTTTTGTTTAGGTAGCCCTTGCTTTGAGACGAAAAATGAAGGCCACTGATAATGGCTTTGGGTGACAAACTCCTGCAAGACACAAGGGAGGGGAAAACGATATGTTAAGAAAGGACTGCAGGTTTAAGGAGGATCCAGCATTGATTGTTGTTGTCTAAAATCCTATATGTTATTTCCGGTAACGATTCAACCTTTTGTTTGGAACAGCCCCACCACTTGACGTCACCAGCTCACATGATGTGACTAGCCATCAACACACAGTTAATGTAATTGATCATGGCACGCACGATAAACCAGGAAAGGTCAGCTGCAGTGATTGCTCAAACATGTGATTTCTACTCATGTTCTCTCTCTCTCCGGCTGCCTCTTTCTGTTACTCTCTCTCTTCTGTTAGTTGAAGAATAAGTTCATGAAGAAGATTCCTCGTGATGCCGAAGCATCCAATGTCCTGATTGGTGAAGTGGACTTCCTGGACAAACCCTTTGTGTCTTTTGTACGCTTGGCCCAGGCCACGACTCTGGGAGGCCTAACGGAGGTCCCTGTGCCGACCAGGTGGGTGTCTCCTTTGTTTCCCCTTTTTCTTTTATCTCTGGAGTGTGTGGCCTTGCATTGATTAGCCCCCTCTGTGCTGACAGGTTTCTCTTCATTCTGCTCGGTCCTCATGGCAAAACCAAGTCCTACAATGAAATTGGAAGAGCGATTGCGACGCTCATGGTGGATGATGTAAGTAACTGGTACTGGTCACTTTTTTGATAGACTTCACTCATACACACATTGAATTGATTTATTTTGTTTTACTTCCTCTTAGCTCTTCAGTGATGTTGCCTATAAAGCGAGGGACCGCGATGACCTGATTGCAGGTGTCGATGAATTTCTAGATGAGGTGATTGTTCTACCCCCAGGAGAATGGGACCCCAAAATACGCATCGAGCCTCCCAAGAAGGTTCCATCTGCAGAAATGAGGCATGTAAATTAAACCAAACAAAATCTTATTTAGAACTGTAAATTAGTGCAAGCAATCTTTAAACCCCATGCTTTAGTCTGACAAGGATTTTAGCCTCTTGAGGCAAAAGCTAATATATATATATTTTTTAACTTTTATTCACCAAACCGTGCACACACACACTCGCACAATAAAAAAAAAGAGACACAAACAAAGAGGGGAACTGTGGTACGATACAGTTTTGCAAGCAGATTTAGACAAAAACAAACAAACAAACAAAACAAAACAAAAGGAAAAGGGTCAGTAAATAAAATGAATGAATTAGAAAGAGTAAATGAGGAAACAGGACAAAGAAAAACACGGGGATAGTAGAGTAACAAAATGATGTAAAATAAAACTGGTGGGATAGGTTGTACACATGGTGACTTTTTGGTGTTATTTGTTTTGTTCTTTTGCCCCTAAACTCTTGTTCTGTCATCGTTTGGTTTTCAGGAAGTCAGTAATGAACCTGAGTGAGTTGGGTCAAATGAATGGCTCGGCGAGTGGGGCAGCCGGGGGAGAAGACGAGGAAATTCCAGCGCCACATGAGCTTGGAGAGGAGCTGAAATTCACTGGGAGGTATGAGAGGACTAAGTCATATTTCACATGTTACGAGGTTCCAGATACATCCTCGTTCTGTCATCTTAACAATTCATTAAACCTTGGATCGTAGGTTTGCAGGTGGATTATGGCTTGACATCAAACGGAAGATCCCATGGTATTGCAGTGATATCTACGACGGCTTCCATATCCAGTCCATCTCTGCTGTGCTCTTTATCTACCTGGGTTGCATCACCAATGCCATCACCTTTGGAGGACTGCTAGGGGATGCTACTGACAACTACCAGGTCCTCTTAAAGACCGCAACAGCCAGTGCCATACATGAAAAGATTTGTCATTACACCACATTTAACATGATTATTTTTTTCTTCACTAAGGGGGTGATGGAAAGCTTCCTTGGCACGGCTTTAGCAGGGACTGTCTTTTGTGTGTTTGGCGGGCAACCTCTCATCATCCTCAGTTCAACTGGACCCATCCTTATCTTTGAGAAACTGCTTTATGAATTCAGCAAGTAAGTGGCACACAATCAAAAAGGCAAACATGTGCACAGTAAAGATAACCAGAGAAAAAGCGATGCCAGCACTATGTCTTTCTCTACAGGAGCAATAACATAGACTACATGGAGCTGCGTCTGTGGATTGGCCTTCATTCATGTCTACAGTGTTTTTTGCTGGTAATAACAGATGCTAGCTACATTATCAAGTACATGACCCGCTTTACAGAGGAAGGTTTCTCCAGCCTCATCTCCTTCATATTCATCTCTGATGCCATAAAGAAGATGGTAGGTAACATGATGTCATTTGAATTGGAAAAACTAACTGCCTTGCTCATAAATTATGTGTAAGAAATAACATAGCCTCTTTGTTACCAAAGTGAAGCCAAAGAGAATGTGACTTAACCTCTCACAAGTGGAAACTGTTTTTTTCTCACAGGTAGGAGCCCTTAAGTATTACCCAATCAACCGCAGCTTTAAGCCAGACTACATCATTGGCTATAGGTGTGACTGTATCCCACCAGACCAGGGTGAGTACACAAACAGTTTGTGTTTTGAGTTTTTTGTTTATATTTTACAAGGTTTTGAATTATTAATAATTTGAACGTTTTTCGATACCTAATGTATATACTGTACATTTATGTCCCTAGTGAATAGATCATCATCGTCATACTTAGGAAATGACAACACTTATATAATAAGTATATTATCTGTGTTTGTTTACTGCTTAATTAGCAAAATGTAGCTAACTAAGGTCTGTGTCCACTTCGTTCTGTGTGTATAAAACAGGGAATATTTCAGTGCGATTAGAAGCAGATAGTTGGTCTTAACGGTGCTTTGATTTCTTTCCTCTCTTTTTGCCTCTTTCTTGGATGCTATTCGACAAAGTGAGTGTGCACATGTGATTAAAGGCGGTGGCTTAATGTGGTTTGATAGACTTTCCTGAGTCCTGACAGTTGCCTGGTCGACAGAATTTGATTAAAAGTCTGCTGTGATTGGTCCAATTAATCAGTTATATAGCATAAAGTGTGTCAGTGTGTTTAATATACAAAAAGATTTGGTGAAACTTTAACAGCAATTTATGGTTATAAATAAATGTATATTATGACACTTTACTCAATGACCTACAAACTCATGTTATTTAAGAATGTTTTTGTTCTGATTTTATCTTTAATTTCAGTTTCTGTCACGTTACATTACCTATCATTCATTTGTTTCCTTCCTGTTTTTTTTTTCCTCTTCAGCATCTGTTAATGTTTCAGCTCCACTGGCAGACGATAATCTGACTCTGTTGGTAAGTGACCAAAGACAGTAAATATCAGTCACAGCCTGTACTGTATTTATGAAGTATTTCACAGAAATCAGTCTGAACTGTGATGCATTTCGTCGTCCTACTGTAAGAAGTTGTTTCCCCAGCTTTCACTTTTTTTGAGAAATGACTCCTACCTGTGCTAATAATTTAAAGAGAATTCCTCACCTGTTAAATGCTTGTAGGAGAAAATGCAAGAGTTTTCTCTGTGGCACTGTGGTGTCTTTATTCTGTTATCTTTTCTCTCTTTCATTTTCTTCTTCACTTTCAACCCATCCTCTCTTGGCTCTTCTCCATCCTATGTGTTTTCTCTCCCCATCCCACGTGTCACCCTTCTTCCTCCACCTCCTCCTGTCTCTGTAGTTTAACTTGACGGACATGGGCTGGGGTCAGATGAGTAAGAAAGACTGTGTCAAGTATGGAGGCACGCTGGTGGGGAACGCCTGTAAGTATGTTCCTGACCTGGCCCTCATGTCCTTCATCCTCTTCTTCGGCACCTACTCCATGACGGTTTCTCTCAAGAAGTTCAAGTTCAGCCGCTACTTCCCGACAAAGGTAAGACTTCCACTGTTTCCCGTCCAGTGGTTTTAATTCTGCAATATGCTATACCGACCTGCAACAAAAGTCAACATGCATGTCAAATGCTAGATTCTCGTATTAAAGGGATATTTACACAGAATCAACTTAAATCATAACACTGAACAGAAATCTCTATATTTAGTATTATTAAAGGCTTTATGTGTGATTTTTTGATCCAGCAGATGTCGCCCTTGAGCACCAGCATGAAACCAAAACAACTCGCGCTGCATTGTTGTGTTAGCATGCTAATGCTAGTGATCTTTATTCTGCTGGTATCTTCACACTGCATGTAAATTTACCTGAAATGAGCGTGATCTAGAAACACAGTTAAGCAGTGAGTACAGTATGTTATTCTTCTTTTCTCTAGTCCCTCAATTAAACAACTTTTATACACGAGGGGAGGAGTCAGCCGGCCGTCCGGGCGATGTAAACAAAGTGAAGATAGGACTCTGAAAACTCTGAAAACATCACAGACAGTGGGACTCGGGTGTTACACCCATTGTAGACAGTCATGACTCAGAGTTATTTTCAGAGGAGATACTTGATTTCTATTATATTTAAGTGTGAAAAATCGCAGATTAAGCATTTAAAAATATTAGAGTAACTATTTGCAACCACTTATCGTCTGAATATTCTGGAATTCTAGTGTAACAGAAATTTAGATGAATACAGGCAAAATATTTAAATAATTAGCTTTCAATACAACTTGTCTTCAGGGGCAAAGACTAGCTAGCTTAGTTACATCACCATATACACTATAACTATATTATTATTAAAGTTACAACAAATAAGTAAGTAAATTAATCTATCAACACATTAACCAAAAAGGTTCAAAAAGAGAGACCCATACCTGAGAGTGGGAGTTCCAGCGTTCTTTTCCTTCAATCATGTTTGAAATCTTTGGGAAAAAGGAGGCGCAGTGTTTTCAAATACAGGTCAGGTGACGTGCACATCCACGCCGGGGCCCTCGGGTTACAACACAAACTAACTAACCCTTAAATCTGGAGCAAAGACGGGTCTAAATGTCATCAGAATCAGAATCAGAAATACTTTATTAATCCCAGGGGGAAATGTGTTTGCTGCAGTTGCTCATAACACCAAACATCAGTAGGAAGTACAGATAAGTTCACGATATAAAATCAAATAAAAACAGTAATAGTAATGCTAGTTTCTGAGAGATGCAGTTGTCACTTAATGCACAGAGTTTCAGGATGTGTAGGTGAAGAACGTGCTTGCGCCCATTCATGTGCCAATAACAAAAAAACAAAAGAGTCTGCTTCTATACACCCTGTGCTTTCCCTCTGTGCACTGCCTGTCAGCTCCTGTGTGTCCACTCAGACTGGAAGCTGTTGTTTGCACTTACTGAAGTTGTTTCCTCCTGTCTAGATCCTGGCTTGTGTTGTACACACTCTCAGATTTAGGTTAGGGGTCTAAATGAATGATAGAATTGTGGAATAGAAGACAATTAGATGAGGTCAGAGATTTGTTGCCAAATTCCTTTTAAGGGGCAGCAGAAACAGTTCTGGCTTTGATCGACAACTACAAGGTCCAGAATCAATTAGCATGTAGTTTTATGTTATTTAATTGGCTCATTTTCAAACAGCAAGGTGCCAATGATACCTCGCTTATATTTGCTAACTAGTCCTAATAAAAAGTATCTAACAAAAGTATAAAAATCGTCCTGAATAAAAGTGATGCTCAGTTTTATGTGAATAATGTGCCGTTCTCTTGAATAGGAGGGTTTTTTTCAAAATCTTTTTATTAGTTTTCACAGATGATAAGAAAACATAGTTGGCATAAGAGTTGACATTGTACTGTGGTCATCTTTTGTAAAACCCATTCCTGTCTTCTCCCACCCATCCCAGTTAACTCTGTACCAACCCACCGAGTCAGGAATCCTACTCCCACTCCCAAGGTAGCCTGTTTCCACAGTAGCCTTCCCAGGAGTCTCATTCAAACTCATGCATACTAGGACAAGGAGCAAGAAGAGAGAGGAAATAATAAATAAATGAAGGAAAAACGAATAGGAGTTTTTAAAGATTTCAACTCAACACATTAAACCTGCTGAATGTCTTTATGACATACTGAAGCAGCAGCTTTGGTTTGAGATATACCGGTTGCATCCAGCTTCATCCCTTCCTCCTCCTGATCAGACTGGCTGCCCTTAAACCTCCATATAGGACTGTCCTCCCACATCTTCTCTTCTCCTCCCCTCTCCCTGAATGTGCTCCAGGTCCGTGCCCTTGTAAGTGATTTTGCCATCATCATTTCTATCCTGATCTTCTGTGGACTGGATAGCCTGCTCGCTCTGGAGACCCCCAAACTGCACGTTCCCACTGAGCTCAAGGTTTCCCCCGAAATACAGCGTCAGACTTTACCTTCGTCTGTTGCCACTGATTGGATGCATTTCTTTACCCAATGATGTTGTTTTTTACACACTTCTAATCAGCTGTGGGGTTTGGTGAGGATTCATCAATGTGATGATTTACTTACTGAGTCTACTTTTTCTTTTCTTTGTTTTGTTCCTCATGTTCACATCCTTCTCTTTTTATGTTTGAATGTATGTCTCCCCTCCTTTTTGTACGATCACACGTCCCTGCTTGTCCTCCTTCTGTCTTGGTGTGTGTGTGTGTGTGTGTGCTGATGGACGTGCAGCTGAGGAAGCTAATCAGTGATTTTTCCATCTTCATGTCGATCATGTGTTTTGTGGGTCTGGATATGTTGATTGGGTTAGACACGCCCAAACTAATCGTTCCTACTGAGTTCAAGGTAACTGATTCTTCACTTCATCATTTCTGTGTTTAGCAAATATTCTTCTAACATCATTTTGCTTAGTGCATCTGCAATTTTTTGTGTGCCAACAGTGGTGGAAAGTAAACGACCAAAGTTCCCTCCTTTTGGGATCATAGCTCCATCAAGTCTGAACATCGTGCACATATTTTTAGATTTTCATTTTAACTGTTCTCTTGTGGAGGATAACATTTACTCACCAAGAAATCAGCGAGGGAATCCAACTTTTTGGACTTCTAATTCAGGAAACATTTTAATGCAGACTTGGAAATTAGACGGAGAAAACGTTGCTAACTTTTATGTACTTTATTTTAGTTGTTAAACTGATTAAATATATCTCGTCCACCACTGCACATGTTTCCACTGCACCAATGTTTAAAAAATTAGATTTTTAATACTAATTTTGGCAATCATCTTCTTGCCTGTATCATAAAGCAGTGTGTGTGTGTGTGTGTGTGTGTGTGTGTGTGTGTGTGTGTGTGTGTGTGTGTGTGTGTGTGTGTGTGTGTGTGTGTGTCTGTCTGCTCAGCCTACACGTTCGGATCGAGGCTGGTTGGTGATGCCGTTTGGTAAAAACCCCTGGTGGTGGTATCTGGCCAGCTCGGTCCCCGCTCTCCTGGTCACCATCCTCATCTTCATGGACCAGCAGATCAGCGCCGTCATCGTCAACCGCAAGGAGAACAAACTGAAGGTCTGAAACACCCAAACAACAACGTCAATAATAATAATAATAATAATAATAGCTTTATTTATATAGCACCTTAAAGCAAATATAGCAACACGTCAACAGAACAGAGATCAACAGAGAGGGCAAAATTGTAAAAATGCAAATAACAGGAATTCTGCTTGCCGTAATGACGTAACGTTTGGCCTTGAATGATTGTTCCCCCTCCCTGTCGTTCTGACTGCAGAAAGGTTGTGGCTACCACTTGGACCTGTTCTGGGTGGGGGTCCTGATGGCCGTGTGCTCCTTCATGGGTCTGCCCTGGTACGTAGCCGCCACCGTCATCTCCATCGCTCACATCGACTCTCTGAAGATGGAGAGCGAGTCCAGCGCTCCCGGAGAGCAGCCGCAGTTTCTCGGCGTCAGGTAATCATGTAATGCCAGTATGCAGCTGTGATTTCTTTCCAGTTTTTTTGGATTAAAAAGTCACCGTTTCTACGTTTCTAGAGAGCAGAGGTTGACAGGAATTCTGGTTTTTGTCCTGACGGGACTTTCAGTTTTCCTTGCTCCCATTCTCCAGGTAAGATGGTATCATGAAGGGGAATATGTGATGTTGTTTTGTGTTGTTTTTTATGAACATTTATGTTTTAATTAACTGTTATCCTATTTGAACAGTACATCCCAATGCCAGTCCTGTACGGAGTGTTCCTGTACATGGGCGTGGCCTCACTCAGTGGCATCCAGGTGAGTAAAAGATGATATTCACGTGTCATCAAGGGTCACAGCAACACTCACTTCATTTTCCCCCCAATTTCAATCAGTGCAAATAAAAATCCATGTCTTAATGTTTCAGTTCTGGGAGCGTATCAAGCTGTATCTGATGCCCGCCAAACACCAGCCGGACTTCTCCTTCCTGCGTCACGTTCCTCTGAGACGGGTCCATCTGTTCACCCTGGTGCAGATCCTCTGTTTGGCAGTGCTCTGGATCCTGAAGTCCACATTCCTGGCCATCATCTTCCCAGTGATGGTGAGGAGTGCACATGTGTGAACACATTTGTAGAGAGTACTGAACCTTCTGTGACTCTCGCACAACTAATACTGTGTCATGTTGGACAACTATCTTGGAATTTGGCCGGAGAGGTTCAGGAGAGTAAAGCTAATCAGACACACAAAGTCATTTCTCACATACAGCAGACTCAGTGAAATGACTTAGTCTTCAGAACAGAGGTGACTTCGTAAAGACAATGATTTGATTTGATTTAATTTATTTTCGTGTCATGCACACAAAGTGCCCGACCCTCATGGGCTTATAAGACACCAAAGAATTCAGTTGCAGTGGTTCACATTTACAAATCATAGCATTACAAAGTTGCCGGCTCCTGTCACAGTTCAGTCTTAAACAACGTGTTATGTCTTTTTTCCCAGGCTTTACAAACAGAATCTGCTATAACAAAGGTTCCTTTTTTAAAACACAACTCAAGTTTTTCATAATCGTCTAGCCAAAAGAAAACATTCTTTTAAAAAGGACATCCCTGATGTCAGCGTACATCAGGCAGTAAAACAAAAAGTGAGTCTCATTTTCAATTCTCCTAACTCACACAACAAACAAACTGGGTCTTCCTCTGGAAGCTAAAGGCAATGTTCCTGAATCACGTTGCTATTGGACGGATCGATTCTCGTTGGCCAAGTTTCATTAAATGTTTTAACTGAAGACCACATCCTCTACCTTCAGAATCAGAATCAGAAATACTGAATAAAAGTTTCTCACTCAGCAGTTTGCCTCATTAGCTTAACGTGCCAAGGCAGACAAACTAGTAGGGCGTAAATATCCCCCATTGGATTGTCAATATGAACAGGGCTGGTTTGTGATACCTGTTTGTTAACAGTTCATCGTCTCCCTTTCTGTGCAGATTCTCGGTCTGATGGTCGTACGGAAGCTTCTGGATCTGATGTTCTCACAACACGACCTGGCCTGGCTGGACGACATCCTACCTGACAAAGACAAGAAGAAGAAGGAGGATGACAAGAAGAAGAAGAAGAAGGCGGCAGAGCCAGAGAGCGATGAGGAGGTGAGGAAACATCTCAAGCATGAGATTAACAGAGTCTCATCTGCTGCTGTTTGGATTCTCATTTCTTAGTTTTGACTGTTTATTTTAAATGTGTGTCACTCCATCTGTTGTGGTTGTGTCGCTCCTGGGTTTGTGTTCAAAAGACTAATACTGTATGTTTCTCCTCTCTGTCCCACAGTGTTGCTGAAAAGGCACTGTATAACACTTACTACAGTCTTTATGTGTCTCTGTCCTCCTCTTTTCCACAGTGCACTTTAGAAAACTGTCCCAGCATGTTAGAATGTGACGATAACAAATATTCAAGCATCACTAGTTTTATCCTTTTAAAAATCCCCTTTTTGTTCTGCATGCCGACAACTTCCTGTTTGTGTCCCCCAGCCAAACAGCTCCGCCCCCCCTCAAGTGCAGATCCCCATGGAGGCCATAGAGCCCCAAACAGAGCCAGTTCTGGACACTGTTAACCCTCCCACCCAAAACCAAACCTCTGATTGTGAGTACACCGACCTCTCCTCCGCCTCCTGTCGTGCCCAGTTGGTTGTTTTGAATACCATTCACTAAATGTTGCGTATGAAGTGCTGAAACACATTTATGTTGCTCTCTAGACCACATATGAGAATCTGAAGGATTGAATCAACGGCCGACCCATGCTCATGATTTATGTGCTCGCGCTGTTCGACACAATAGTCGGGCCTGAGAGCTCACATTGTACAAGTTAAATCAGGACGGAACATTTCCAATTGTCAATAGGGAACTCCCACAGACTGAGCTTGAGGTATTTCAGTTGTCTCATACGTACGGCTCAAAGCGAAATAGGTCATGTCTCGATCGGCACACACTGTACGGGGGGTGGATCAGGGCCTGGATGAATGATTAACAGAGTCCAGCTGATTGCACGTTCAGCTGGCCCCCTCGGGTCAGTTCAAATACTGCCTGAAAGGAAAAATAGACTGTAACACGTTCTCAATTTCACAGCGCTTTCCTGTCATACCGGTGTTTTGTCAGTAATTGTTTTAAAAATTAACTAATAACTGCTCCAGCATCAACGTAGTGTGCTTGTGTGTCACAGTTGACAGGCAGCCGACGGCTTCACTGCTGGCCCTCCCACGAGCGTGCTCGCTTCACTCGAATTGTAAACTCGTACACAGATCTTAGCTCAGGTTTTCGCTGATAAAAAACATTTTAAAACCATCATATCCCGACAAAAGCCGAGCTTAAATCAGCTTTCAAAGGAAAGCTGGAACACGTTAAGTTAAAGACTAGATCCTGCTAAAGATAAAAGTTATTCACAAACATGTTAGTCCTTAAGAGAGCTCCTAAAGTAAAGATCTAAGGATGAAGAGTTTCTCATAGAGAACAAAGAAGGAGAGATTCCAGATCTATCACAGCCTCATATTAATATCACATTAAGTAGACTCTTACAGTTAGCAGCATGGTGAATAAACATGAGCACATAGATATAAGAAGAATACACAATATGTTTATAATTAGAGCTCAATTAATTAAATAAAAGTTGTAATTGACTTTTGCATCAGAATGGTTCAAGAGTAAATTGGTGACTGTTATTCTTCAAATCAAAAGTAATGTTCCTGGGCCAATGATCTTTGAGAACAAGCGGCCCGGAGGGCCAGTGGCAAATTTAACATAATGTCAACCCCTGCTGTGTATCTACCATATTAACCATATTAAAGAAAGTGAATGGGTAAAATTGGAGGTCATTGCAGCTTCTGAAATTAAACTAGCTTCATTTCTGTAAAACATCATGCAACAGATTCTGTTTATGGATAGAATGTTTTAACTCTTTTCTCTTTGTGTCTGTGTTTGTATCCGTGTTGAACTACATGTGTCTACACACCGTCATGTGTTCTGTTCGGTGTGCACATGTTGTTGTTGTTGTTGTTGTGTGTCTGTGTTTTGGGTGTTTTTTTCTTTTACAGGAGACCAACCCGTACTCGACCGTCACATCCGATCAAAACGAATTAGACCGCAGGTACTGTGTGCTGAAACTGCACGTGCCCTACAGGGATCTGATTAGCTCACCTGACACAAACTGGCAGAAGCAACAAACCTGACACCATCAGACAACCACAAACTATTTAGTTACAGCATCAAAACAAACCGGCTGCATCACTTCTAAGCGACTGTATGTTGGCTAATGATTTGGGGTATTTTGATTGTTAATATTTTGGTTTTTTTTTAAGTACATTGCAGAGAGATTACTGTGTACAGTTCAGAGTATGTTTAGAAAATAAAAGTAGTAAACACTCTAGGTCAGGAGTTTTCAAAGTTGAGACCCCTCGCCCTCTTACAGCCCCTCCCCCCTCACCCTTCTACATTTTCCCCAGAATGCTTTGGGAGAAATAGACAGGAATTATTTTAAGAACATGGATTCAGTGAGTTACACTTTTGGTCTACAACTTAAACTCCCCTTTTTTTAATTGTTAACATTTTGGCAAAGTGGTGTCAATGAAAGACTGCTGAATAAACTTATAAGCAGTCATCAACAATCTCTGATACTGAAGCAAACTTCAAAACAAGTTATGTCGTGACAGGGTGCATTTTTGTTTGCTTGATTTCTACGCAGATTAACTTTGGACTTTTAAGTCATGACGGACAAACAGAAAGAAAATATATCCTCAAAATTGTAAGTCACAACAAATGTTAAAATAAGACAACCTTACATGAATAACTTCCAGTGGATTTTGGAATACCTGCATGTAACCTGTCCTCAAAGTCTCCTGCAAACTCCTGGTTTGGGGGGGGGGCTGTTTAAAAAACCCCTGTTCTAGATCTTAGCTTTGATGCAGCCCCACTTCCTGTAGTTTTCTGCTGTTTATTGTAATCACTGTAGGCCCTGGCATATCTAGACAGGCTGTTATAATCATGTTGCTGTGTGGGTTATGACCTGAAGGGTCTCTCTGACCTGTCACTGATACAGACAAAAACATAATTCAGTTGTAAACCTTTGATTAGAGATGTGCAGATTTCATATTTTGGATATATTTAGCTTTGAGTGGTCAAAATGTTAAAAGAGAGAAAATCTCTTGGATTGTAAGATTGTGTAGCGTTATTCTGGCACCTGATGTAAATATTTATTATGTGTGAGTTTTTGTCTGTTATTATTTCTTTTCAGGGAGTTATTTTACAGATGGCCGGAAGGTCTTTACACTCTGCAAATATAAATATATAGACAGAGAGAGAGGGAGAGAGAGAGGGCGCTGTCTTTCATGCTTTTAAAGTAACAGTTTAATTATTTTTGATTTTTTTTTTTTAACATTATTCCCAGAATTTTAAAAAACCATCATCATGATAAAACTACACCGCAGCATTGTTCTTTAAAATCCGCTCATGTAAATGGAAGACTGCGTTGTTGTTGTTGTTGTTATTTCATTGCTGCACAAACTGTCCCTGCCTGTAGGAGGTGCTCAAAGTGCAGCATTGTTATACTTATTGCTTTTACTCGAGTACTGTTCTGAAGCACATTTCGAGGTACTTTTTACTCTAACTTTCACTTCTGCCCACGTCTTCTTCCCCTCCTGTAAATATTGTAATTTTTGATTTGAATACATTTATCTGACAGCTTTACGTACTTTGTAGATTCAGATTATTTGTACAAAATTTAAACTATGAAGTTATTCTAGATGATTATAGATTAACTCAGCCAGCAGTATATTACATAGATAATATAAACTTTCCCCCGACCGAGTGTGTAACTCAGTTGACGTTCATATTTATACATAAATAACGTGACACGTTGATATTATTAAGAAAGGCTCGCTCTATATTATTACTTATTTGTTTTGTTTATTGACGTTTTTGATGCAGTAATGTTACTGAGCTGCTGAATGCTGAAACATTTTTGCATATTTGTGAGCTCTGTGTGCGTGGGGAATTCATATTGGTCAGATTTTGGTTGTTTCTTTTAACAGAACAGGTGAATTAGTGGAATGGATTCAGTAAACCAGAGAGCACTGCAGCACCACCTCGCATCTTCTATCACATCACACATTTGTCTCATGTTGATCCTGCATGGCTACTACAAGTCTGACCCCGTGTACCTGCTTACACCTGTCATCACATGACGCTGCTGCTGTGTGTCTACATTTAAAAGCCCCTTACATGAACCATCAGATTATACATACAGACCTTGTCTGGACTTCACTCTTTGTACTCTGTAATCTCGTTTTAAGAAGCAGTGATCTATTATCTTATTACCCATATGAATCACATTCCTCTCTTTCACTCCACATCCTTCCCTACCTGCCCCCCCCCCCCCCCCTCCATCACCTCCTGCCAGATTGAAAAACTCTGGAAGCTTTAGTAGCTTGTGGAGCAGCGCCATCTAGTGTAATTTAACAGTCAAACAACAGCAGTGCCACGGCTGAGAGTCAAATAAAATCCCTGATTTGTCAACAAACATGTACTAATGTACAAAACTAATAATGTCTCATATAAACCTACCTTACATCATCAGTTCTCCCACTTTTGTAATGTAACATCTTGAATATGTTTAGTGCACTAAGCTGCTAGTTTATTAAGTACAGCTCTACAGATGCCGTCGTTTTCAACAGTTATGTAATAAATCTTTCTTAATCACATGTAGACAAACCAGTTGAACCCGATGAACTGAATACGTCATGTTAGTATATGTGGGTTTTAATGTAGAGTAAAAAGTGTAACCTGGCCTGGTGCCACCACTGTTCCCCAGCATCACTCTGCACCTGAAGATCTCCTGCCCCCCCTCGCCTAACCCCTCCCAGACGAGCCTAGCCTCCGGGGACGCTCAGTCACACCTGCCTCCACCGCGCCGGCCCGTGCCCCAGGTCAACATCCAGGTGGAGTCAGACTGCGAGGAGTCTGGCTTCTGCTTCAGGCCGCAACGCCGCCTCCACCACCACCATCATCATCATCACAACCAGAGCCACTATTTCCCCCGTGCCACACCTCCACCTGTAATACACAGAGACTTTCACCCCAAACTGCATGCTCGCTTCATTGACCAATGTGCTGAGACCGTTCTGTAGACACTAACAGAAGGTGCAAAGTGTTGCATACTGTTAATAACTCTTAATCCGCACTATGACAGTTTCTATTCATTTTTACTAAACTGATCTTTCATTTGATTTATATCAGATGTGATCCCTGTGAATTATATAACTAGCCACCCTAAACCTTGTTGAGCTCTCAGGTCGGACCCCTGCAGTGCTCTGAGAAACCAGCTTCATGTAGTGAAGATAACTAGCTGCAAAGAAACAACCAAAATGTGTTAATAATATAACAACTGATAAATGCATGAACCCACTCTGAACCTGTGTCAGTATTGTTGATCATGATTTTCTTTGTGTGCATTTAAAGAAAGGCAGAGAGAGTGAAAGTGATACACTTCACCTCGACATCAGCGTGAATGAGGGAAATTGATGAAGGTTTGAAATGAAACGTCATGATTTATGTGCACAACGGATGTGAAGCCCTGACAGTGTAATAAAACAGCATTTAAAGTTTGTTTTTGTGTTAGTTTGTTTTTTATCCAGACTGCATCAATCCTCACTCTGTGCTGAATATAACATCATATGAACTCAAGGGTTGAATTAAAAACACATTTGAGGTTCTTTCACGGCCCAAAAGTTCAACTCCTAAAGACCAAGGTGAAGATCATTAATGGAAACTAAAATATACAAAACATTTTCATTAACTGAAAGTAAATTAAAATGAGTAACAGAAGTTACTGTTGATACAGAATCAGACGGCAAATCTGACCTGAGACATGATCAGCTCCATACAGGTACACTACCTGAGACATGATCAGCTCCATACAGGTACACTACCTGAGACATGATCACTACCTGAGACATGATCACTACCTGAGACATGATCACTACCTGAGACATGATCAGCTCCATACAGGTACACTACCTGAGACATGATCAGCACCATGCAGGTACACTACCTGAGACATGATCAGCTCCATACAGGTACACTACCTGAGACATGATCAGCACCATACAGGTACACTACCTGAGACATGATCAGCTCCATACAGGTACACTACCTGAGACATGATCAGCACCATACAGGTACACTACCTGAGACATGATCAGCTCCATACAGGTACACTACCTGAGACATGATCACTCCATACAGGTACACTACCTGAGACATGATCACTACCTGAGACATGATCACTACCTGAGACATGGTCAGCTCCATACAGGTACACTACCTGAGACATGATCACTACCTGAGACATGATCACTACCTGAGACATGGTCAGCTCCATACAGGTACACTACCTGAGACATGATCAGCTCCATACAGGTACACTACCTGAGACATGATCAGCTCCATACAGGTACACTACCTGAGACATGATCACTACCTGAGACATGATCAGCTCCATACAGGTACACTACCTGAGACATGGTCACTACCTGAGACATGATCAGCTCCATACAGGTACACTACCTGAGACATGGTCACTACCTGAGACATGATCAGCTCCATACAGGTACACTACCTGAGACATGATCACTACCTGAGACATGATCAGCTCCATACAGGTACACTACCTGAGACATGATCAGCTCCATACAGGTACACTACCTGAGACATGGTCACTACCTGAGACATGATCAGCTCCATACAGGTACACTACCTGAGACATGATCAGCTCCATACAGGTACACTACCTGAGACATGATCACTACCTGAGACATGATCAGCTCCATACAGGTACACTACCTGAGACATGATCAGCTCCATACAGGTACACTACCTGAGACATGATCACTACCTGAGACATGATCAGCTCCATACAGGTACACTACCTGAGACATGGTCACTACCTGAGACATGATCAGCTCCATACAGGTACACTACCTGAGACATGATCACTACCTGAGACATGATCACTACCTGAGACATGATCACTACCTGAGACATGATCACTACCTGAGACATGATCACTACCTGAGACATGATCAGCTCCATACAGGTACACTACCTGAGACATGATCAGCTCCATACAGGTACACTACCTGAGACATGATCACTACCTGAGACATGATCAGCTCCATACAGGTACACTACCTGAGACATGATCACTACCTGAGACATGATCAGCTCCATACAGGTACACTACCTGAGACATGGTCACTACCTGAGACATGATCAGCTCCATACAGGTACACTACCTGAGACATGGTCACTACCTGAGACATGATCACTACCTGAGACATGATCACTACCTGAGACATGATCACTACCTGAGACATGATCACTACCTGAGACATGATCAGCTCCATACAGGTACACTACCTGAGACATGGTCAGCTCCATGACAACATCACTTGGACTTTTCACATCCTGATGTATCCCTCCTCCTCAGCCAGGATTTCTGAATCCTTTTGATTAACATTTTAAGCTGACAGTGTTTTTACTTTAATCAGCATCTCAAACAACAGACTCTAATTTCACTAGAGTCATGATCACATTCATTTCTTTTATCATGCAAATAAAGGATCATACAGCAGAGTAGCTGCTCTGTGGTAACCATGGACACCTACGGTAGACTAGAACGTTTGGGTTGCTTAGCAACAGGCTAGTTTCAGTTAAATTGTTGAACCAGTTGAGTAGGTGGAGTTAAAAACTAATGTAGTGTTGATTTTTAAAAAACTTTTTTAAACACTGTTTTCTGTTCTTATAACAGTTGAATGTCGAGATGTTGTGTTGCTGTGATTATCTTCAGACCGCTGAAAGCCTCTCACCTCTCACCTCGGTGCTATAACTGAAACATGGAAGAATAGTGTGCAGCTAAGGTTAACGAGTTACACAGCAGATAATTAACGTATCTTACTTTCTGCTCTCTGTGAACTTACAGCTTTAACGTAGCTCGGTAACAAAGCTCCTCTTCTTCATAGTCCTCCTTATCTGCCATCGACGTCTCCAACATGTTAGCGTCTTCATTTCCGGAATGAGCGGTCTGTGACTTCTTCATTTCTCCCGCGTCTTTTCACGACAGCAGAAGAAAAAGTGGTCTTTAATGAATATATAAACTC